TAATGATGACGTTTTTAAACATTAGCAAATAAAAATGATAGCACCCTGCATGCAATGCTGACAACTTTAAATGTGAAACGGACTCGGGGGGGGGGGGGGGGGGGGGGCTGGTGGATTGTTCTACCGAATGGATTTCCAGACTACCTTGTAAAGCAATGCGACATGCTCGGCCAATTACCCCTGGAGGTTTCATCAACACCGGCGCGATGTTATTCGTCCATACACAGCCACATTACTCTTAATATGCGTTCATTTTCCTATCGGAGTACATGCTTATAACACTCCTAAATAAAGCAATACATGTTATTTCTTCTTTCAAATAAGTTTGCAGTTCACCGTTATACCACTGGAGGAATACAATGGTTCCTGTAATATTATTATTATTAACAAGCAGGCTGCTGTACATGATTTGTAGTGCTACGAGCGCGATCGTCATTTGTCGTTAATTAGACGCATTAAGCCCCGAACTCGCTCCTCCGCTCAACCTTTCTCCGTCGACGAGAACGGGGTTTTTTTTTGCTTGTGATTTACCTAACACAATTGTATAAAAACTTGGTTTTCGTTAACACACCGTGTTACACGCTGGAGAATACTTTAGCAGACATTTTCAAAATTACAAGTTTAAAAAAAAAAACCGTAAAGCAATTATGTACAAAATGAATACAAAATGCATTCTTTTTATGATGTGCTTTCAAATGAAAACGTTTCAGAAATCTGCCCCTGGGTACAATTAGCTTAAAATGGCGATCAACATTCAAAGAAAACCTCAACTTCCAAAATCATTAACAACAAAACTTTGAATATTAAATTAAGAATGACATGCTCATGTATATCTTGTTTTCGAACAGCACGTGTATCATTATATGCATCCTAAACACTAGCAGTATGCTAAGCTACATGCCAGCCAGAGGCGAAAGCCAAAAATAACTTTAGTCTATGGCTCAACAAAGCTAGTGCACTTAACTGTATACTAAACAGCTTGCTTTTAATGCCACCATTAACATAAATTTAGTCCCATAGTTGGAGCCAATCAAATGTCACCGTCCCTTACAGGATACATACACGTCAAGTCGTCTGGGGCCCTAGGCCAAAACCGGCACAATTAACCGCACCCCAATCAGGGCGAGTCGGAGTGAATCGATAACGTTTCGTTTTTTAGAAAAAGGTGCAACGACTGGAGATGATCACACGCTTGGTTTTTACAAAGTGGACGGTCCCAAGCCTGCAATGGGCGGTAAACAAAACTCATTTTTGTCCTCCGCTCCGCGCGGGTGCCTTGCTACCCCGCGGCAGCCCCACCCCGCGTCACGGTACGGTCCCCTCGAGTCTCGACACCGCGACTCTCCACACCGCGAGCGCGTTTGCACGGCAGTCTTCCCACGTGCATATGCATTGCTCACCGAGATTCGGCCGCACAGCCCATCAGAACTAAACTATTTGCGAACAGGTAAGGCCCACTGAGCTATATAGCTTTTGCTATCAGACGCGACCTGGCGACCACAAATGATAGCTCGACTTAGTGGCTTATCGGAAGGACAATTATCGCCTGCCAAATACTCTTAAACGCATGTCAATGCGAAATGTCGAGGGAAAAACCACAGGACCCGGTGAAAAATCCACGCGACCACGAGGAGAACATGCAAACTCCAAATATACAAGCGTCGTGATCGAACCCACGACCTCCTGCATACCAGGTGAGGTGGTTAACATCTCGCGACCGTGGCCACCATGGCCGAGGTGGGGGTTTGGGGGTTCACTATTTGAATTCCTTCTCTACGGCGGTGACATTTTACAGAGGCTCAACGACACAGACACGTCACAGAATGGCATTTCATCGTGACACACTGGCGGAGTTTGCTCCGGCCTGGACGGATCCATGAGTCTGGTCTTGAACAGTCGTTGAGCACACTGGGACTTGCGATTCAGAGGTCACCAACCCGTTTCGAACTCCCGGCACGGCGGTTAAAACAATGGGGAGAGTTTCCTAAATCACCCCTCCCCCCCACGTCTGTCCACCCAGCAGTATAAATGGGTGTACCACAACAGTTAGCCGATCGGCAGGTCACGTGCCATGGGGGTAAAGTGGCCGGTTTCAGTGTTCTAGTTTTGCGTATAAATTACTGGACCAGGCTGGAGCGCAGTACTCTGCTACATGGCCAACATAAGTGGAATATATGATAACATGCTTATTATACAAGGATGCAGTTCACTTTTCATTGGTGATTTAAAGAAGTTGGTATAACTCAAGTGTGACCATCCTCTGGTAGTTCCAACAGGTTAAATATTTAGTCTGAGCCCATGGACTGAGATCCGTCAGCTGTGTTCAGCCAGTCGTGCGTCACATATGTCCCATGTGACGCAGCGGCCATTCAAACGATTCAATCGCGCCGAGGGCTGGAGCCGCTGTGACCGAAGCTCTGTGAAGTTAAGTCGTTTTTGGTCTTCCTCATTTTGTCTTGTTTATGTTTTAAGGCAATTTTTCTTTCGAAGTGTTGAGCGGAAACTTTAACTCGCCCACTCGCCACCTCCGCCCACCCCTGCCCCCCCTCTGGCCCAAAATAAAACAAAAAATGTATCCAATGCCTGACCGATTGCCGTTTATAACTCAACATGGTCACAGAGCACATGGCGGATGCACAGGATCATTTAGAAGCCCGCACTATGCAAGCTCTGGGCACTTCTAATAAGAACAAAAGAGGTTTGGCCAAAAAAAATACGACACACCCCACCCTTCAGCAGCTGGTTAAAGCACACAATGATTTTGTCAATCATCATAACTGCGCAATGGACTTTTAGCCTTCCACTTCTTGACCGATCTCTTTCAAACCTTCATGCAAAATGATTTAAATAAAAAATCAGACAGCTGGTTGGTTACAATTTGAGCTAGTGTCTGCGGCAAAGCCTGACAACTCCGATGTCAGAGAATGGGTTTGAGAGTGAAGAGTCCATGAAATACATCAACATATGTACCGTTGAGCAACCTGGCGAGTTTGCGATGAAGATCTCTTTTGCAAGGGAGATGCACATGTTCAAGAAATCTGCTGCAATCAGGAGTAGTTGTCAAGCAAGGTGGGACAAGACCCAAACATGCTGAACCGTATACCCTATTGAAAGTCGTTATCATTTAAGCTATCAGTGGTGACACTGAGCAGGCTTGTCCAACTAATCTAAACGATTTTTATTTTACCAGGTAAGGCTCACCTGAGCTAATGTAGCTCTTTTTCAGAAGCGACCTAACCACAAATGATAGCTCAACGAAGTGGCATCATCACGTGGAAAATTTATAGCAGCCAAATACTCTAAACTCGTGTGTTCTAAATGTGGAGGGAAAAAGTGGAGGACCCGGAGAAAAATCCACGCGACCACGGGGAGAACATGCAAACTCCAAATATACAGCAGCAGGCGTCGGGGTCGGGATCGAACCCACGACCTACTGTATACCAGGTGATGTAGTTAACATCTCCTAGCCACCGTGGCAACAAAGGGGGTAATTTCATTATCGAATGCAACACCCTGGCGAGAGCATGGGTTGTGTGTGGAGGTTGCTGCACAACACAGTGCTTGGCTGCATATCCCAGCTTCAAAATTAGACGTACGGCGAGTCACGGCGACAGATTTGGACAACGCGCAGATGTGCCGTTTTAGGTTTGGTTTTTAAGCAGTGAGACTCGTAACGAAAGTTTACTGTCACTGCGGAGTGACGCTAGGCTCTCCTGTAACTTTACACGTCCACCCATACGACTCATTGTCGCTTTGCCACCAAATGGTCTGCTGCCGTTAAAATGTACGTGGCTTTCATCCGAATAATCTGCAGGCCAACTCATCCCACTATGAGATTTTCACACCTTCCCCAACCCCTTCTTTGCACAAGCCAACGCGACCCGCAATTCCCACAACGGTACGTCAGCACAACAGTGATGACGTGATTTGCCGATGAGGTCATTCGCCTTAGCCAAAACACAGCGACAGGAAGACTGATCGGCCACACGTACCCCCTGCTGCCGGCCAGATTCAGGACAGGACCCCCTCCCCATCTGGCGTTGAAACCTGCTCTTCGTTCCGCGTCCAACCCAAACACACTTTCTAAATCACGTTACGTTTCCATCATTTCCTACGCAGCTCAAGTTGTCATTTGCTTTTGGATATTGTGCACAATGTCTCCAAACCCAGCTTTGCATGAGATGTACGTTATTTTTTGTCACGAATTCAAGTAATAACGTCTGCGTGGCTGTTTACAAGGCCACTGCTGGCTGAACATTACGGAGGTACTAGAATGTTAAAAAGTGGCTCCTGGTGGAACAAATTATTGTAACCGTTGTTAACTTTTATATCATGATGCAGGCTCATCTTCAAAGTTTAGGCTAAAAAAGGCCAATGAAGTATTTACTTAAGTTTGATTCTGTCAATGCCGCCTCGACAATATTTATAATAAACAGTTTTATATACCGCTCGCCTTTTAAATCTGTCATTGATAATTACGTTATAACAATACAAATTACATCTTCAAAACTCATAGCGCTAATTGCATACGATGTAGTTTTACGAACATTCTCAATTTTAAATAGTCTTTTTGATAAGTCAAGTTTAGCCACCGGCTTTTAATAGGACTACTTAGACCACTCTGCCTCCTGCCAAAGTGCCCGCTGGTAAAGCCCAAACCCCAGAACACCACTTTCCGGTGATCTAAAATGGCAACTCCAAACTGAAACTGGCTAAAAGCAGCTCGGAAATTAATGACACCGATTTACTGCACTCCTGCTCAGAACATATTTCAGGACGCTGAAGTGCCAAGTCGAAAGCATTTTTTCTGACTGTTTTCAGCCCTCATTGAGAGTTGCTATAGGAAGCCGGAGTGTATTCCCAGTGTCAGTCTGAAATGCCATGTAAACACTAGGCTTTCTGCTTCACGTTAAGCGCGGCGATCAGAAGCTAAGGATGTAAATCTTGCGTGTTCAACACACACGTATAATCACTACCGCTGCATTTTAATAATTTAAACATTTTTAAATAACTGAACACGGATCCTATTCTGGAATAAACTGCAAATTCAAAGCCATGCGTGCATTTTTTTTAAGTCAGTGGCCCCTCTCTTTGCACAGTAATTTGTGAGTGCTATGAATTATTATTTTTGTTCAAATAACATTATTTGAAATGTACAGGAAATTAACTTTTAAGTGTTTGCAAGTACCACACCTTTCCAAAAAAAAAACCCCTAAAATTTAAGTGACTTCAACTAGGCTACATTTTAAAATTGTGTCGACCTCCAAGTCTCCCTTGCAAAAGAGAAAATGCACAAATGGACATCGATCACTTGCTTAAAGTGTGACCTGAATGCACGCTGAATCTAAGTAGAGCACCACCCCGATAGCTGTACATGCAGGTGCCTTCTGTGCCGTCAAGAGATAAAACCCACCTTTCAACATTGACAAATGCGCGACTCAAACTCTTTGTGCCCACAAAGCGCATCTCGTGCCGCAGCTGGTTGATAGTTTTACGCCTCTGTGCGGTGGGCAACGTTACCGCATTTGCGACGGCAAAGCCCAAAAGTACAAGTAGGCCCGCACATCCAGACCGCCGGACAGGCAAACCACGCATGCTGCTCCTGCTCACCAACATCATCAACAAAAGCGGACGCTTATTACTCGCTCCGTCGCATCAGTGTGGGTGGTGGGTGGGGAATATCAAACAACTAAACAAATTGCAAAATAAAAATAAATAAACCAGACGACTTAAAAGTGTGGAAAGTAGTACCTCTATTCCACTGCACAACTGAGCTGCACCGGGTCCGTTGCCGAGCCAGTCTGGCACGAGGCTCAGAAAGCCCGAGGCTGTCCACTGCAAAACCGAGCCAATGACGGCATATGCAACGATGTACATGATTAACCATGCGCCCCTGGCCCTCCTTGGCCCCAAGCAAGATTCAGATATATTACGAGACCAGAGTTTCATGGTCTGGTTCTGGCTCGGCATATCGCCAAACGGGTAACCACCTGTATGGCTCGGATGTACCGGTGGAAGAGAGGTAATGGAACACACGTGTTCCTGCTGGTGCCGGGCCGAGGGTGATGGGCAGATCCTGCAGACCAACGGTTTTGGGGATGGCGCTGGGAAACGGTGGCGGAGGTGGCTGTGGCGGTGGGCAGGGAGGGGGGAGAGGAGGTGGAAGAGGACGAGGTGGAGGATCTCACAAGACCTCGTTCTGGGCGGAGGGCGTGGGTTGGGCAGCGGGCGAGTCGGGTTTCCGGACCAGTCGGTCCAGTTCAGCCTGCACATCGGTCATGGCCGGTTTCGGACCTGTGGGTGTGTGGACAGACGGACAGACGAGAAACGTTTAGAGCGGCATGAGGGCAACCGAAACATGCGTCTTCGGGGAAAACTAACAAGCAGCCAACATTTTTCATGGGGTAACGGTACTTTGAGGCATTTGTGTACGTTTAACGATAAATCCACAAGCAAGCGTGTGGCATGGTTCATGAAAGTGCCTGCTTACAAGAAGCCAAAGCGTTTATATTTAACGCAAAGAGAAAAGCATCGAATGCCATTGTGAAACTCGCTGATTGACAATTGCAGGGGAGTATTCGGAGTCATGCAGTGAAGAGTGCCGAGGCCTTGGGCAAGGCAGTCCTTCTGGGTTTAGGCAACGTGACGGCGGGCGGGCGCGCACGCACGCACATGCACACACGGGCGCATACAGACACGCGTGTGAGCGACAACGTCAGCCCACAGACTCGAGCGAGGCCGGTAGACTTTGACCACTGAACCAACAGATGATCTGACACGCCGTGCAGCACCGTCCCGGGCCAATGCAACCCGATATGGTTCGGCAGAAGCCACGAAGCTTGAAAGGAGGGAATAAGGGGAAAAGGGTTATTGATGCATGCACGGTGCGTTCACGATGAAGCAGACGCGAGAGCGCGGGAAGGGGATGCGTATATGCATCGATGCAATGCAAAAGGCACACATACAATATGGAGCAACTTGTATCTTAAGTTCACAAAGGTAAGAAGTACAGTTCCACAATTGTGGATGGACATTGAAGACATTTTAAAGAGGTGGGTAATAATTAGGAATTATCATGGGGTGGCGTTTGACTTGGTTACAGTATGACAACCAATTAGGAGCGTAATTGAGATGGAAACAAGTTTGAAAACTTTGCTTAGGAAGGGGAAAATCCTCAAATGACCATGGTGTCGGATACTCAGATAAAGTAACGTCTCAATCCAAGCTGGAATGATGGCAACAGTGTGTTCACTTTCGTATCTATGTCAAACTCCTGACTTATTCCAAGGAATAAGCCATATTTGATTAACACATAGGCTTTTGCGACCAGTATTATTCTTAATAAAGTTTTTCGGGTTATATCGCATTATTATAAATGTGTCGCAACCCTCCACCACCCGCCAATTAGTTACTTCAGCCCACCGGTGTGTTTGAAGAGTGAATCCACAACATTTAGAATCGTTTCGCTGGTAATTATATCCAGCATCTTCGGGCTATTTGTCAGAATAGTGAAGCCAACCACCTGCTTCCGGTCTTAAATATGAAGCCATATTTTTCAAAAAGAGAGAGAACTACCTTCAAAAATGACAATCCCTTATGTATTGTCAGCATACGAGGTTTGTGGAATGGCTCAGTCACAACCTGAGTATTGTAACATGGCTCGCCATCGAACAAAGATGGTCACCGCATCGCGCACTTTCAGATGCGCTTCTGCGGCCGTCTGGAACGCTCTTCTATCTGATATTAGGAAGCCACTGGGAGCTGTGCACTTTTAAATCATCATCATCATCTAGATTTACAAACTCATTTCTTTAGAACTGCCTTTTGTGTTTAGTTTGTCGTCCTTCCCCGAACCTCCAATGAGCACGGTTGGTGCGAAAGAAGTTCAAAATACATACAGACATACATGGCAAATGCTCAGTCCAAACCCTGGCAAAAGCACCCCCCCCCCCCCCTCCGTCTTCACAGCTCCTTTGACGCACATCCCTCCTAGTAACGCGCGTGGTCATGCGCATTACAATCCCAATTATATTGTCCTGTACTCTACAACGCTGAACTTTCAACATTCAGAGTGCCACTTTACAACTGCGGATATGAGGTGGCATCGCATCGTTTAGCGTCTACTTCGTGAACTTAAAATTAAGTTTAGCCCAAAGACAAAAGAATAAATACAAGCACAGGCATGCTGACACCCACGAAACGAGCTCAACCTCTAGGCATTGAACAGCTTCAGACAGACCTGTTTGCAAAAGTCTGGCCTTAAATACATTTCCCACATTTTGAGCTTGTATACATTAAGTTAAGCAGCATCAGTGGAGTTAGATTTAGAAGTACACACACACACACACACGGGATAAACTCACGCCAAGCTTGTCTGCACCTCCATGCTGGCCGCACGTAAATTTGCGAGTCGAGACTTAATAGAGTCGCGAAAGGCCAAACGCGTACCCACGACGCCGAGTCAAGGACACGACACAGAGCGGTCAGCCTGCGCAATGCCTAGGGAGCTGTCCGCACACTTTCAGGACTTGTTGCCAGAACGGGCCTCCACAATCCCTGCTTGGCCCCACGCGGGAACACCAAGGTGGGCATGGACCCTTGGTGCAAAGAATGAATGCGGCGTCCCGCTAAAGTTTCCCCCCTATTAGTAGCCTGGAGCCTGGAGCCTGGGCACCCCCCACCCCCCTTCGGACAGTGGACCTCGGTGCAGTTGCACTGCCTCTACACTGGAAATCTACGCCACTGCCTACGATCGTCGGTCCACTCCTCTCACTGCATCGCACGCTGTCAGATGCCCTTCTGCGGCCGTCTGGAACACTCTTCCATCCGATATTAGGAAGCCACCGGAGCTATGCACTTTTAAATCATCTAGATTGAAAACTCATTCCGTTAGAAACTGCTTTTAGTGTTTAGTTTGTTGTCCTTCCCCCACACCTCCGATCAGCAGGGTAGGCTACGTCCGGTGCGAAAGAAGTTCAATGTACATACGTGCATTAAAAATTGACTCGTGCAAGAATGTTCGGGTTGTGGCAGGGATTGGGAATGCCATCTGGTGTCTGGCCTGCATTCTTTATTGCTTTCCTTTCATATTTACTTTTAAATGCATTTGTTCGGGCCAATGGCTGCTCGGCCGGTCAGCTGGCCAGTTACCAACCTTGCTGGCACGGGGCAGTCTCCCCGCCAGGCGCGTGGGGGTGACGGTGGTGGGTGGTGGGGTGGGGGGCGGTGTGGTCGCGAGAGATAGACACGCAGAGACAGGGGGAGAGGACAGAGGTGGAGAGACAGGAGGCGAGAGGATGGGCGCTGTGGACTGGGAAACACAAAGAGACACGGGAACATGGAGACACTCAGGCAGACGGACAGGGGTTGTTGTGGTGGTGGGGCTCACGCGCAGCGAGACAGACGCATGTGCATGGACACAGATGGTTACGTACGCATGGCACGAGCGATCGAAACCCGTCGCGCACACACGCGCGCACGGACACCAAGACGCACACAAGCACAACAGAGGTACAAGTGTCGCTTTAGTTATGCCGTTAGTGGTTAGTGAACATCTCAATGCAGAAGAAATGTTCGTAGCAGTGCAATACAGAGCCAACGTGGAGATGCCAAGGGGTCCAAAAAAGTAACAAAATTACTAGGGACTAAGCTCTTCTTTGTTTCGACCGACCCACTGCGGTAATTATTATGAAACCTACACTGCCTTCACTAACATCGCTGCTGCTTGGTAAGCAGCTTCTTGCGACCCTAGCAACGTGCAACGTGTCTTATTAGAACTTATTAGATGCATAGTGTGGAACAGGTCTTAAATAGGATTTGTATTACAGATATACCAAGCAAACTACATTTTGGGAAGATCAGGAGGTGTGCTCAGAAAAGGCTATTTGAAATCCCTTGCATCATCCCACTTGGTTACCTGGTTACAGGACATGTACCTTCCAGCCTCTCTTGTGCCCGATAGGGTGTCGCAATAATTTAACTAATGTTCACTGCCTATTACAACAAGGGGGGCATCATCATCATCAGCCAAGATCAATCCACCGCTCGATGAAAGTGTTCAAAGCCAGCCATTGACATCTCTCAATCTTGCAGGTTCCCGCACATCAGCTCCCTCTCTGCATAGCTGACATCCTCCGGGGCGCGTACCCTCATTTGGCTGCCGCTCCGTCGGTAGCCTCAACCGTCGTCCCTTCTAGCGAAGCGTCCCGCCCAAGCCCACCGACTTATCTCGGGAGTCAATATCACATCTCTAACTTGCGCATGCTCTCCAATCCGGAGCGTGCGCGGCTCTCTCAGCGTTTCTATTCCGAGCACGTACGTCACCCACGCCACGTTCGGCATTTTGGGCCTTTTGGGGCTTGTGCTCAGCAACCGTGACCTCACAAAGAACCGCAATACAACAGGAGAGGGGAAAAACGAAGTGAAGAGAGCGGCAACCGATGTGGTACGGCGGCACTCGAGACCGCTTACCCAGGGGCTTGGCGTTCCCGGGGGATGCTGCCTGGCCGGGGGAGGGGGGCCCCCCCGGCGAAGCCCCCTTTTTCGTGAGCAGGCTGTTGAAGAAGTTGGCGAGCACCCCCTCGCTGGTCGCGCCACCTGCGGGTACACGAGCGGCCGAACCCGTCACGAGGGGTCACATCCCCGGGACACGGATATCGCGCAGCTGGGGTTTAACCCACGTGGTTAAAACCCATGAGTCCAGTTGGCTAAGCACCGTGCGAAAGAAGTTCATACATACATATGTACAAACCCATGGAGTTGGTGTTGCATGCCTACAGGTGGCAGTATAGCAGGTGGGTTTGTAAAGCCAAACATGCGAACACGTGAGTGTTCTCCCATCATACGCGTGAGTTTTTTCCAAGTACTCAGGTTCCCTCCAACACAATGCAAAATACTCCTTCAATACGAATCGGCCAAAAGACATTGCATTGTAAAATGGTCACGTGACATTAAGTGCTGATGTAAACGTGAACATATTAATTCATGTAATGGTTCACAAGTTGATGTAACAACGTGAAAAAGTTAATTGTATTCTGATGAAACCTATGTTAAAATTGTAAACTGACAAAGGAAATTTAAACATTTCCACCAGACTCCTGAAGAGATTTTTATATATTATATGCACAACGTAGAAAAACCAACCGCAAAATAAAACGTGTTAACGTATTGATAGCTACTTGAATGACCATGGCAGTAAATACTTCGCTGTTGTGCAGAAGGAAACCATCGTATTTCCACGTGCACTACATTTTTGACGATCTGCTGAATGATCTTTGCATTACTGTAATAATTGACACGAGTTATTATTAATAAGCCTCATCAAGCCTCATGATTTTATCAGGAGGGTCCTGCCATGTTTGCACAGAAGGGGCAATAACTGCTGCCAAGCACCTTGAGTAGAGGCACTCTATAAATAAATATATGACATCACATATAATCCCAATTGAGTAATTTGCGGGTCATTCTTTTAATCTGGAAAATTCGGAGTCATTAAGTGTGCAATAACGTATCAATTTAAATATATGTTTAATGCTCATAATGCACGTACAGAATTGTGTGTGCGAGTGTTAATCATTTACAATGCACGCAAATGAAATGCAAAGGATATGGTTAATGGTGCTCACAAAACTGCAACAGCAAAGACTGAAAAGAATAACGCAAAGGCGATGGCAAAAATGAAACAAAAAAATAAAACCCTACTCTCGAATTGAATCGCGATGCTAAATGCCTACGTGCCCAATCAGACAAAAGCGCCGAACAATGACCGAGAAGAGACGGTGGGCGGCACGAGGCGTGCATCACGCCGCACTGTGCCAAGATCCTCCAGAGGGCTCTCTCTCTCTCTCTCACCCTTGATGTTGGCCGGGTCGAGCTTCTTGCCAGGGGTCTGGAGAGGCGACACGCTCGCCACGTTGGTCTGGCCCGGCCGGCTCACGGCCCGCGGGGACCCGCCCGACACGTCCTGCGCAGAAAACCAAAGCGACGCGGCGGCGCGGTCAGAGACGATGGCGGCGGTGGAGAGAGCAGCGAGTGGCGGAACGGTGGCAGGAGCCCGGCCTCACGAGAGGACATTCACACGAGCCATATTGCCACAGTTTTGGCCAGCTGTCTGCCACGTGTGCAGTCATTGCCGCTGCTGGAGGAGGGCTTCCCCATGCCACGTTGGTTACGGGGCTTTGTTTGACCATACTTCACCACTCTAGTTAGCGCCGATTGGCGAAGGGGGGGGGGCACTCAAGACCCAGCTCGGGTTGCTGAATTCAAAGTACAGTGCGCGATAACCACCGCACAACAGCTCCATTCTTAACAAAAAAATGCAAGATTATTTTTTACAAATGTATTTCTTCAGACTAAAAACACATTTTTATTTATATCTGGACACTGAATTTGTACACAATACATTACATTTGTATGTTTCTTGACACCACTCCACTGCAATTTTTGCTATCATATGTGAATACACCCCAAGATCTGATACAAAGGTAAAACGCATCATCTAAATTGTCATTCTAATAACAAACCTATTAGTTTTATTAGGACAGTCAATCCATCGTATTTATCTCCCAGGAAACAGGCATGGAGGTACAGGGGTTCATTGGAAATAAGAGCTTTCTCCTAAAGTGGCCAGTCTAATGCAGTTACAGATCAATACATTGATCCATCGCGGTGAAAATGATGAATGTGAGACACAACAACAACGAGCGCTAAAACACTTAGGCCCGTATTTTTAGTCGCGGCTGCTCTCAGGTTTGGCTCTGGCTCAAGTAAGTCGGCTCGAAGCCATGCTGAACTGTAGCCGGCTCTCAGCTTGGTCTCAGCCATGCTGAACTGTAGCCGGCTCTCAGCTTGGTCTCAGCCATGGTCTCAGCCATGCTGAACTGTAGCCGGCTCTGAGCTTGGTCTCAGCCATGGTCTCAGCCATGCTGAACTGTAGCCGGCTCTGAGCTTGGTCTCAGCCATGGTCTCAGCCATGCTGAACTGTAGCCAGCTCTGAGCTTGGTCTCAGCCATGCTCAGGACTTCCATAAGCCGGGTCTGAGCCAAGCTCCGACTGAGACTCTTTCCCCCCCATCTCTACCCCCTCCCTCCCCCCATTGTCTAACACACTTGGACTCCACCCCTCCCCTTCAGCTCCACCTCTATCTAGCGCTTTACTCCCCCTCCCTCCCCCCATTGTCTAACACACTTGGACTCCACCCCTCCCCTTCAGCTCCACCTCGCGCTTTACTCCGACATTAGCATTGACTGCCCCGCCCCATGCCGTTAACGCTGCACAAATTTCCTTGCTGCTGCCTCGCAACTCGAGTCCTCCGCCCACTCACAACTTTGGAAGCCCTTATAAGCAGTTGCATTTGGAGGCTTGCCCCCTCTTTTCTCTCCGCCTGATGAAGGCCGCTTGTGTTGCAATCGAAACGTCGTGGGTTTTTTTATTTTGTGTTCCATTATATTGAAATTCTTTTTTTTTATTTTCTATCGACTTGACTTTACCGAAAGAACCAAAGACTATGAGACACTCATGCATCTATGGAAGCAACGGAGCATCTCAATCCTGAGCTGAATGTGTTAATAGGCCAAATAAGGGCCGAACCGTTACTTAGAACACAGCACTTAATGGGACTATATTTGTATATTAGCAAAATACACGTATTATATTTTTTTTCTTCCGAGCTGTGACAAGATTGGGAGCATTCCAAGTGATTTGGTCATCGGCGATTGCGATTTGTGGATTTAAAAACAGGCGTATTCTCCTTACCATAGGCCGCCCTGCAGTTGAGGCTGGCACCTTGGAAAGAAGTGCCTGGTGAGCAAGAACACGAAACAACAGAGCAGGGTTGAATGTTTATTCCACAGAGAGATGCATCCCTTAATTAAACTGAGAACAGGTCTCTCGTTCAACGGAGACCTCAGTTATGAAACTAGTACAGTGTACAACAAATGCAATGTAGGGTCAAACATCAGCAGCCAGGGTTGAGATATTCATCATCATCATTATTATCCATAGATCTACCTACTGCACTAGTCCACCTCTTTCACTTAATAATTTTAATTCAGGTACACCTTCAATAACTGCCCTACATATACTGATTATTGACCACATCCTGTACAAATACTATCGATCAATTTATGGAAAAGACGAATAATTATCAATTTCCGTTATGTCTAGCCATTACACACGATGTAGACTGTGGGAGATTGGCTGTATACCAGAGCAGAGCGTATCTTGAATTTTAACAGCCGATTCCAGTTACTGTTTTCAAGAGTTGCCCATGTTTTGGCTGAGTAGAAAAAAAATGAAACTGAAACAATAAACTCACCTGCTGCTTCATGAGGAATACTTGCTCATCCTCCACCGTTACCTCCTTCTCCTGCACCCACTGCGGAATTAAGAAGCGAAGATACATTAAAGATGGTTCTTACACACGGTTTATTGTCATTTCTTCTGTATTGTATCCAAATTGTGCTGTCAGCGTTGTTTCAAAATACAAATAAACTATCTGGAACACTCGCAGTGGAGTGCAACCCTTCGTGTTAGAGAGTGGCCCATGGAAGTGGATATCACAGAGCTACCTCTGAGATCCCTGAAAGTGACCTCTGGTTCACATGGCAGAGAGCAGCACATTTCCATCCACCCTGCCACCGAGAGTAACATTCGATATTTCTAATTCTCAGTGTTGGAATTGAACCAACTTAAACGCAGCATCAAATTTATCGTGACGGGGGTTTTTTATTTTTTTGTTGCGCGCGTGCAGTTATTGGGGGGGGACAGGGCCGAGACCATCAACTCACTACGATTGAGAACCCGATTCAACCACAGGGAACTGTCGGGATTGAGAGACCTTCCGAGCGACCCGGCCACCTGGCAAAGCACCGAAATATTAAAATCTGCGCCACATCCCAGCCGTTGGAAGGCCGTGACGGCGTGCGTCTTGAGCCGTCTCGACGGCTCCCAGCGATTCCCTTGCCTTGCGCACGGGCGGCTTGACGATGATTTCCTCGTAGCAATCCTCTGGTCGCACCGTCTGGAAGTGCTCGTGCAGGATGGCGATCTTCTTTTCGTTGTCCCATCCCGCTGGGCTGCGGGAAGGCGGGGAGGGCGGCACACCATTAACGCCCAACACCACCCCCGTCGGCTGCGCTGTCAGCGTGCACAAATTAAAACGGTATTCATTTTTAGTTATTTACTACTTACCGTCCCGGTACTTTGCACTCCTCTAGCGTATCGTTGTCACTGTTTGTCGGCGTGACTTTCCGACCCGCCCCTATTGGAAATCTTGAGTTGATGGTGTAAAAAAAAAAAAAAAAGCTTCGTAACTCTTTGGGATTTCTCCAAGGAGAAATGAAGATTCTGGTTTATTCTGATAGAATTCTCGGGCATGTGATGATTTGTCGATTAATATGGATTCCTAGGCTCACCGATTCGTGCCATGCATTATGTTTGTGAGAATTCATTGTAAACGATTCGCTAAAATTATCATTTCTGCATTTGGGCAAATGAAGAAAACCAGAATGAATGGAAGAGTCAACACAATTGAGACAAAATAATAGATTATTGAACCTAATCGTGTAAATACATTGAATCATTAAGGGGGGTGTGGAGTATTTTACATGCCTATTAATGCATTGACGGTACACAGGAAAGGGTGAATTGATGACATATACGAAATCTATATTATATTCTCCAAGTGTTCTAATTGTTTTTTTCCAGGTCTGCCTTGCAATGCTCACACGGTTGTTTCCATTGCAAGGATTTAGCCAATAAATGTAGCAGGATAAAAAGAAAAAAAGTACCACAAGCAAAATGAAAGCATTAACTCACGTACAGTTTCCTGTGGTGCGAATCTCTGCAGCACACTTGAGAAAGCATTTTGGACATGTCGATTCACAACCTAATGTTAACTGTGATCCTTACCCCTGTGTAAAGCTGCATTGACCTCCCGGGCATTGCTTACTTTCCGCTGCAACGGGGGAAAAAAAAAAACCGAATGACTCACATGAAGACCGAGTCCTTTTCAACCACATGGGCGGTGGTGCGGAAGGGGAAGTCGTAGAGCCTGTGCAGCAAGTATCTGTAGAGCAGATCGACGTTCTTGTCCTCCTTGAGCGATGTGTAAATCAGAGCAGCGCCGTCTGGTTCACGTTCAGGAAAGCCAACGCCGTCACGTCCCAACAACCCGATCCCGCCTGACTTGTCACTCTCAATTTACGATGACCCACGAGCATTCATTTAATTTCATCGTCGTCGTCGTCGTCGTCTGCAGCATCAGCAGGCAGCGTCACTCCGCTACTGCCGTCGCCATCACTGTGCTGGTTCCGTCCATCTCACTCCTATGAACTGATCTCATCGCTCTAATCTCCACGGTGACTGCTCTCCTGTTTCATGTCATTGCACAATATGCCGTATCGAGTTACAATAATGATAGGATAATAGGGGCACAGCTTGCAATCACCATTAATTCCCCATTACCATACCTCATTTTACAGCTGTGCAGACCCTTACCCAATGGAATAAAAATGCAATGCATTATTTATAAGGCAAAGCATTTAATGGACGGATGGGGTATGGGCCTAAACAAATGGCAGGACCTTGCCAGACCACAACATGATTATTATTATTATTACTAACAGACCTCTCAAAATGACGAAACAATATGTAATTGGGTTCAAGATAATAATTTGCATGCATCATAAATGACGCCTAAATGTACCACCTATGTAAAACTAAAAGCAAACTTTGCTTATTCTACCACGTAAAGCACATTGAGCCATATAGCTCTTTCCAGAAACGACCTGGCCACAAATGATATCTCAACGAAGTTGCTTATCATGTGGAAATGTACAGCAGCCAAATACTCAGAAAACATGTTTTCTAAATGTGTAGGGAAAAACCGGAGGACCCAGAGAAAAATCCACATGACCACAGGGAGAGAGACACGCAAACTCCAGGATCAGAATCGAATCCACAACCTCCTGTATACCAGGTGAGGTAGTTAACGTCTCTTAATATGCTCCATCTGTCCCCATAATGCCAACAGGACGGGTGACTTGGCAACGCTGGTAAGTGCAAGTTGGTGGAAAGAGGTGCCAAGCACCGGTTCAGATGAACGCTTGCCACTGGTGCCGGGCCATGCCCGGGAATCGAACTCAGGACATTGGAGAATCATAGCACAATATGCTAACCACTGCACCACCGTCACACATCACTCATGGAATTATCCAACACATCGAACCATTACATAGCGGCAAATATAGATATACACACGTGGCTCCAAAGAGAGCTTTGTGTGGGTTCATGCTGTCGGCGCGCTGGGTTGGCCTGGTGGGTGAGATTCGCAGGTGGGACTGAAGGATACACCTCAGGCAGAACCTGCGGATATGCGACTGCATGAAGTCAAAGTGCTCTTCCCTGTAGTCGTACTCCTTCTCCAGCGAGTTCACCGCGTCGCTCTGCGCCAGCGACAAAACAAGAAATGTCATTACGCAGAGCTGCAAAACGTTTTGCAATTTTTTTGAACATCACCGCATTACGTCTTTTGGTAACAAACTCTGCAGTGGAGGAAATAGCCGTTGTTTCTTCTGAGTGTTTGTCTGTCCCAGACAAAAATAAATCCATCATGAATACATACAGCACTTGTCAATTCACTGCTCAATGAGGGCCTCCCCATACTGGTTATTTGACGCCATACTTCACCACACTGGTCAGTGCAGGTTGGTGAAGGCGGGGAGCATAGATGTTTGGAGTATAGTATAACACAGCAATGGATTCTGCTACCCTGCCCTCTGCTCGCAATATAGTGCTGCAGCCCTATGTTGTGTGGTAGTCACCCATCGCGCTTAGCTAACTAGACCGGAGCACTAGCCCTAATCAAAACTGCACTAGTCAGGCACATTGGGACGTGACATTTTACCGAACAAATTGATACCCGAGGTTGGAATCTATGCAGCCACCAGCCACCTGGGTTTAATCCAAATGTGTAATTGTAGCATGTTGACAGTGCCAGCCTAATAACCAATGTGGACAAATACCCATTTAATAAAATGTAATGTGTAAATTTGGCTTATTTCAGCATTCGGAATAAAAAAATTCGATTTGATCGACCGATTTACTTTAGGGGATTTAAAAGGTGTGCACCTAGTCCTGATAAAGAGGCCAATTGAAGCGACTCCATACTTAGTTATATTCTCAAGCATAGTAAGTTGATGGTCTCAGCCCAGTCACCAAAGAGTGCACAAAAAAATCCACCACATTCAATTTAACTCTACATTGAATGAAACTAAATTCCAGCAGTAAGAATCAAAAACGTAGGGTCAACTCTCACGTTAAAAAGATTACACTCATATGTGCAGCAGGTGGAAAAGCGCTGCCTCTTACTGTGTTGAACAAAGGTCACGTGAAGGGATCTCAAGAGGTAGCTCTGTGATATCCACTTCTGCGGGCCATTCTCTAACACGTAGAGTTGCACTGCTCTGCAAGAGTTCCGAATTCGTCCTTCATATCTTGACGTGACACCGAGAGCACAATCAGGATAAAATCAGGGGGAAAAAATTACACAAAGCATTGAAGGGGATATGAAAAAAGCAAACAAAACGCTAAACCAAAAAAAAACATGTATTTGCATGTTTTCCGTAAAGCGCATGTCCTTGGAAAAATGTAGCTCTTGATAATAATGGTCGTGCTCGAAGGCCGTGATGAGACAGCAGGCTCGGACAGTGGCTCTGGACGGGAGAAGGCAGCAGGGGACGCCAGCGCTGGTCCTTTTACCGCTGTTTTTTGTCACCATATATTGGGCAGCCAATTCTCAATACAGCAGATGTTCCTTACAAGCAACAATACTTTAACCTTACGTTGTGTTCACATTGGATCTTGTTTACGATGGTTATCACCCCATTACAGACAGACGGAGCGACAGAAAGGGGCGTAAACGCTTTGCATGTATGTTATGTATGTAGCACTTCTTCCACACCGTACGTAGCCAACCGTGCTAAACGGAGGTGCGGGGCAAAGGACAACAAAGCTAAACACAAAAGAATCATGAATTTTGATTTAGAGCTTTCGTGACTGCAGTAATTCATATTCTTAGCTCTTTCGGTAAAGTCACGTTGAAGGGAAACAACAAACGTGACTTTACCGAAAGAGCCAAGAAAAAGAATCTTAGTTTGGAAAGCAATGAAGAAACGAACAAAATACGACGTGAATCCTCACACCTTGGTGCACACGACCACGACGGGGATGCCCAGGTTGTGGGTGAGCGTGTTCTCTCCCAGGGGCAGCGGCTCCGACTCCTCGTCGCCCTCGCCGATGGCCGTGGCGTGCGTGCGGCGCGGCGATGCCAAAGAGCCCTCCTCGCCCGGCTCCGCGTAGCTCTGGAAATCGCGCACAACTGTGCACCCCACCACCACCCCCCCCCGCCACCACCACCACCCACCACGCACAGCGCACCAGCCACGACACGTTAATAATAATAATAATAAAGATGTGATTATGATGACAAAAAAGTTCTCGGAAGCTAAGCAGTGAGAAAGAGCTTCATAGCTCATCGGATTTCTCCAGTATAAATTAATATTTTGATTCTGAGTCTGGACAGTGCTTACATGGGTGACCACCATGCATAAGACAGGTGTTGTAGGCTACTGCAGAGGGCAGTTGCTAGCAGAGGCAGTCCAGCAAAATCCATTGTTGCATTGTACAATGTTTCCCACCTCCAACTCACATTGACCAGCGTAGCGAGGTATTGTTAAGTGGCGAGCGCGCCGCGATGTTACCTCGCCAAAATTAGATTTTACTCCCGGCAACGGGTAACATCAGTGGCGGGTGACATTTGAACCAGTCCTGGGCTTTCCTGTTATCAACACGCAATGACCAGTGTGGTGAAGCAAGGTCCTACAACCCCTGTGACCAACACAGTGTGGAGAGACCTTCATCCATCAGTGGACTGACAAAGGTAAGCAAATGATTATTATTTTACTTTTCGTGCGTCCTGTCCACTCCGCACAATACACATGTAAAATAATTTCCTCCTCAAAGAAGCATGCGTTGGTGCTCATCTCCACAGGTGACCGTGCACTTGTGGGGAGAAATTCTACATTCCCTTGCCAAGGGCATGTCCATCCGAGGCACGTAATGATTTTCCAATGAGCACGGTTGGCTACGTGCGGTGCGAAAAAGTTCAACGTACGTGTATTGAATTATATAAGAATGTATTTGACATGTGGAATCATGGCGAATGGTGATAACCATGTGGAAGTATTCATCCGAAAGTGAATAGACAATGGCGGCTGCTGCTGATGATGAAACAAAGGAGACACGCGGTACAAACAGAGCGCAAGAGACAGTCAATAGAAACGGGAACGTACTGAAAACCATAATTTTGATTATTGAGTCAAATTGTTACCTACGATTGTGACAATTCATTCGAGGGTGCTTGGGGCGAATCATCACAGGCCTAATTAGCAAGAAATGTAAATTGTCTTAAATTGAGTGGAAAAATAAAAGGGCGAGTTGACCAGCTGACCGGGAATTGAACTGGCACACTTCCAATTGCGAGTTGCCAGCGCCAACGAAAGTCCCACCTTGGCAGACTGTAAATTACGTGAACACATAATTTACAATAAACATTATCATTCATGTGATATTTTCGGGGTCATGCCAATAAAATGACTAGCCACCTATATAGCTGGTTTCGTCTGCTTTTTGTTGCCTTCAGCATCACTCTTTAAAAATTATCTGTAAAAATAAATCGTCGACGATGTGATTTTGTATTTGGATTCAGTGCCCTTAAAAATGTTCACGTAAAAAAAATGCTATAAGTCTGGGTTTACAAAGATATGTGAAAATGTTTGGGGAAGCAAATGATAACACTGGGTTTTTCGGTTTTTCTCGTTATAATCGATGTATGTGTTTGAGTCCATATGTGTGTGCGTGTAGGTCGATGTGTGTGTGGGTCGATGTCTGTGTGTGTGTCTAAGTCGATGTGTGTGTGTCTTTTTCGCCCGGGCAACGCCGGGTACTTCCCGCTAGTCTATATATGTGATTATGTGTGTCTGTTCAAAATGTTTAGCATACAAACTTGAAATTTGGCATGTGGGTAGCTTCCAAACTTTACATAATGCAAAAAGTATAAAATAGACTTTTGTATTTTTGGGGGGGGGGGGGGGCGCAATAATGGATATACTTTGCACGGCAAGTGAGCGGTGACGTCACATCTGTGATGTCACCCGCATGCGGCAGCGTCACGCAGTGTGCCTGCTGACGTCACGCATCTCCCCCCCCCCCCCAACCCTCCGCGTAGGCCGTGTATTAATCCAAGACAAGAATCCAAGTCCCGGGCGAAGCCGCGTAGTAAAGATAGTGTTTCATAAGTGCCAAATGTCAGATTTTGTAGCCCATCAAAAAATTGAGTAAAATAAACATCACTCAATCACGAATGTCTTCACCAGATAATATTACATTTCCAAGTGTACACTCAAGGAAATGTTTACAGTAACCTAAATCATGCATGCACACGTTTCAATGTTCTTGGAAAATCATAACATGGTTTTATTTAATCATGTTAATGTACAGAAACCTTCTGATTACTTAAGAATCAATGCCTGTTAAAATATTGTGCAGTCAAAAATCACACTAAATTAACCGACAGCTGAACAATTCCATCTCCATCGTCTGTCCAGTGAGGTTCTACATTGCGCATGTGCCCGTGTCGGCCGTTTAATTTTTTTTAATCTTATCTGTGCGTGTGCATCTCTTAGATGCGCATCTGCCTTACAGCTGTAACATTTGATTCTCTAAGCTGTGCGCGTTCAATTGCATCTGTCCGTGTCCTCTCTTGACGCGACAACTTTCTCATCAACAATCCTACTGGTCTGAGACCATCAAAGCAACAACTGCACGAGAGAACCTGTTTGTCCAGGGTGGTGACCCTGGGGCTTAAACCCAGACCCCAGGTTTGCTGGCGCAGTGCGCCCAACATTGGCGTTTAACATTTCAGAGCCACCCAGCAACAAAGACAATTAATGTAACAAGTTTCCAACCGATCAATCTCCTGACCAATGCATACCAAAATAACATCCTACTCATTCACACATTTGATCTATTTATTATTCGGCTCTTTGTCGAGTGTATCATCTACACTTTTGCTTAATTTACCGCACAGGGTAGGGAGCCCCTCGTCCAGCAGTGGATTGGCAAGAAAGCCGTACATGTACACAAACAAACCCATGGTACCACACTCCTTGGCATTATAAGTCAGGAACCATATAACAAAATCTCCCAAGAGCACGGAGCCAAAAGGTTGTGAGAAAGCAGTGAAAAATGTATGCATGGATTCGCATGCACTGCCGTGTTTTTCAACTTCGTCATCTCTAGGCCAATGCACTCAGTCTATGATCACCTATTTCCCAATCACCCTGAATGTGCCCGATCTTGTCAGATCTCGGTAAAAGGCACGAACCGCAACTAGGGAGGGGGAGGGGTGGTACAAAAACTCCGTGGACCGAAGTCCAAACTCAGTGCTCCTGGGTTCTGGGAAGAGGAGAAGGTTGGGGCCGACTGCCCCACTCACGCAGCGACTGCGAGCAGCGAGGAACATAGGCAGGCTTTTATACGGGCAAGGGAAGAGGAACAAAAGTAAAGAGAAAAAGGTGTGGGGGGAAGTGGTGGGGGGAGAAGTGGGGGGGGGACGGGACTCCTGGTTATTTCTTCGATGGGAGAGCACGATTGCTAATCAGATGTCATAGGTGTGGGCTGCAATGTGGCCAGGAGATGGTCACCTTGTTAAGCCAAGTGTCAACCCCTCACATGTGAAAATATATCCTCATTACTTGAGTAATGAGAATATATTTTAAAAACATTCGGATTCTGTTACCTATCAAAAGCCAAACACTCATCAATAAAACTGGCCAACCATATCAACCCAGTAGGACTCTCCTGCATAAAAAAGGATTTTTCCGGGTTAGCAAAAGGGACATTACAGTATTATTTTTCAATTCCGGGGTTAACCACACCCAGTGCAATAACAAAAAAAACCCCGCGTGCACACACACACGAGAAAAGAGACCACGTCTACACAGCTCAATTCACTGCACTGGAACTCGACCAAGCTATGAGCTCACCACCCCCCCCCCCAAACGTCGCATAAAAAAAGAGACAAGACACAACATGCGCCCCGCCGTCAAGCTCCAGATACAAGTCACAGCCGCACGTAAATAACGGCGGTCGCGATGTCGTGATCGCAATGGCATTCCAAAGTCCAACATCTCCCAGGTGCTGATGTGCGCTGCTACTCTGGGTACGCCTACGGTTTACACGGACAAAAAAAAGCGCTGGGATGGGTTACATGAGGATGGAAATCCTTCACAGACACATGCCCTTACACTCTGCTATCCCCAAATAAACCCATCTAAACACCTTGGTCTCTCTAGTGCCGATGCTTACACAGTTACTCATTTAAGGCTCCGTTTACCAAGCTGCTATTTTGTGGACAGCACAGAGAAGAACAACAAAATCCACTGTTTTGTACTTTTATGCTCCCATGTCAATGCTCCCCATCTTCACTAATCAGCAGTGATAAGTGTGAAGAATGCTCCAACAACCCCCATGACCGATACAGCATGGGGAAAACCACATACAGTACAAAGGGCTGCACATGTAAATGTCCTTGGGGAGTCCCTGGATAGTAGTGAAGAAATATTGTGTTGATTCATAGGATAACATCCATTCTTAAGCTTGTGATACATATTGAATAATGCGTGGAAGAATCGATGTGTTTTTTTATTCCTAAATGCTGTAAGTAATTGGTTAACATCACTTCTGTAGCCACTAGAGGCGCTAAAATTTACCGTAATGTCGAAAACGTAAAAAAATAAGAAATCAAATCACAAACCTGAATCGTGGACATTTAACAAATCAGCATTAATCATTGCAACCATAAAGGCAAGGTTCAGATACTGCTTGCAACTCATGGTTATCCATGACCAGGAATTGAACCCAGGTTATCAGGATCGCCGTGTAGAGTAATGCACTCATGCTTCAAATATACAAAGACCTTAACAGACTGTTGGGGCGAGTGTTGTTAGAGAGCACCTATTAACAAGAGGGTGCTCGGCCGTCTTTGTTTCCCCAACGCTCACATTCAAACATTTCACCAGATACCAATATCAGGTCGAGTTGACCAAGGGGAGGCCCAGGACCAATTCAGAAATGACTCGCCACTGACTTTAACCAAGAGCAGAAATCAAAATCAAACTCAGGTGTTCATATTCTTTGGGTCTTTCGGTAAAGTCACGTAGATAGGTTCAAAGAAAATAACAAAAAAACTTTACCGAAAGACCTAAAGAATAATTCCTGCATTCACGAAAGCTTTAAGTCAAGATTCAAACTCAGGTG